TATATATATATATATATATATATATATATATATATATATATATATATATAAATATATATATATATATATATATATATATATATATATATATATATATATATATATATATATATATATATATATATATATATATATATATATATATATATATATATATATATATATATATATATATATATATATATATATATATATATATATATATATATATATATATATATATATATATATATATATATATATATATATATATATATATATATATATATATATATATATATATATATATATATATATATATATATATATATATATATATATATATATATATATATATATATATATATATATATATATATATATATATATATATATATATATATATATATATATATATATATATATATATATATATATATATATATATATATATATATATATATATATATATATATATATATATATATATATATATATATATATATATATATATATATATATATATATATATATATATATATATATATATATATATATATATATATATATATATATATATATATATATATATATATATATATATATATATATATATATATATATATATATATATATATATATATATATATATATATATATATATATATATATATGGCTAATAGGATGAATCTATGCCTCATTTTCTTGTACGGTGGCTCAGGGGTGGGCAAACCCGGTCCTGGAGGGCCGGTGTCCTGCACAGTTTAGCTCCAACGCTAATCTGTCAAAACACCTCTAAAAAAGGCTTTTTTGTACATGACAAATTTGTTCACATGTACAATACTGTAACACGTTTTATTCAAGAACATATGAGCTGGTTTCAGTTCTTAGCTCTTTAATTTTCATTTTATTTAAAATATATTTTAATTGCTTGTTAATTAAATCCTTTTTTGTTATTTAACCTATTATTTTTATGCAACAGTCAAGTTGCATGTTAATTTGCTATGAAGAAAAGGAAATAATATATTTTTTGCATGCTGATTTATGCGAAATCATGAATATAGGTCTATATAATCACCTTGCAATTTTGAAATTATAGCTTTTTTGCTTTGAGTATAAACTATTCAGAGCAGTTCAATCTTTTATGAAGTTTGCTGTATAAAAATATAACATTATGAGATATTTATAATTATCGGCCTATATATAACAGCTATCGGCCTCCAAGTCTGAAGAGTTATCGGTTATCGAAAAATCCTTAACGGTGCATCCCTCAGTAAAATGGCTGAATTTAAAGTCTTTTGGCTAAACTATCCTGTTTTAAAATTCTTTATTTAGTTTGTTTTCTGTAAAACCACACTGTACAAATATTCCTAATATAGCAGTTTGTGATTCATGTTTTTATTTTTTCCCAGTTTATTTATGCTTTTGAATTGCATTACGACACCTTGATCTTTCTCCCAACACCTTTTAACCTTGAAAGTTTGAAAAAGTGACTTTTATTTTTATTTTTATGGTTTAAAGTGATATGTTGTCTGTGTTGGTGTTGTGTATTAAACTACAAAAACTTTGTAATAAACTGCCAATACATTTTCTGTTATTTTACAGACGTATTGCTCTATATATTATTCCTAATACATTATATTTTTTAAAACTACTACATTGTCAATAAAGTCACTTTGATAAACTGAAGAGTTGAATAATCAACATTAAATATTGACAGAGTTGAAAACAAGGTCCCATAATGCAATTTACAACCTTAAAAAGAAAACACTTGTGAATCACAAAATATGGAAACTGTTAATTAACAGATTTCTTACAGTGCACACAATTGAAGAAACATGGTCCAGAGGAAGAACAGAGGTATGGTATATTACAACTTCGAAGGAAAATCAGCAGTGATGTACTGATATAGATCCCTCATATACAGTAAAAAATAAAGAAATAATAACCAGTAAGATGAAGAGAATTATACAAAATAAACTGCCCCTTTAAGTGTGAAATACATTCTGAGCTCACAGTAACATGTTTCTTATTCCTATACAGCAGCTGAAGCTTGAAAGAGTTTGACATGAGATTATTCACCCAGATCTCTCAACCCACCCAGACACAAACCTTGACCCAGATACCAGTCAAGTGTTCCTCTCAATGCCTTTCACATCACTCTCACATCAAGAGACAGAAGAAGATATTATACAGCATTGAAAATCTGCAGTAAAATATTGCACGGCTATAATATGTTTCTTATGTTACAGCACCACT